ACGGCTGGTCCCACCCAGATGCCCCCCCACCACCGCCCCAGCGGTCACCCTGACCCCTGTACCTTAAAAATGTTGAAAATGCCAGTGGATCTTCTGAACACATCTGACCTCATGAAGTCCTCCAGCTGGGCCAGGACATCATCCAGGTGAGAGGTGGCACAGATCCCAAAGCAACAGGCGAGGCCCTGGGAGACGCACAGATGCACTCACACCTGGGCAAGGACAGGGGTGGGAAGGAGCACCCTGCACACGCACACGCTCCAGAGAGGTGCAGTCACGCACGCACGCACACACGCACACGCTGAGTGCCTGAAGGGAGAGAGAGGCTCTGGGGAGGGCGCCACCTCGCGCTCGGCCTCCTCCTGGTGTCTGGCCGTCTCCAGAAGCTCTTGCAGATGCTTCCTCACCACCTCCTTGCTCGAAGCGGCACCCAGCGTGGTTCCAATGCATTTATACAGGAAGTTCTGCAACAGGGCCAAGGAACACAGCCACGCCCGACGCCTGAGTGCGGGAGCGCCAAGCAGACGCGGGAGGGGCTGCCCGGCACCCACGACGGTGGCCACCGCGAGGAGTGGGGGCGACGGGCTCCTGCACCCCCAGCCGTGGGCCTCCGGGAAGAGGCTCACGGGCCCTCCCTCTCTGGCTCTGCCAGGGCCACAGGCCACTGGAGACAGGTTCGTGCAGAAGATCACGTGGAATCAAGGCAAAAGAACAGTAGCCTAAGGACGCTGCCCAGAACCCCCCCCCCCGGGGCACCCCCTCCTCCGTGCACCTTCTCCTGGGGCGTCCCGTTGTAGCAGGGCAGCTGTCTGCACATCTCTAGGCTCAGCTGGCAAATCCACGTGTTGTCAGACACGACAGCCAGAGTGTCCCGAAGGAACTGTGGGCAGGGGCCAAAGCAGTGAGGGGCCAGGAATGCAGCCCTTCAGGGGGCCGGGGAGGGCACTGAGGCCCCGTGACGTCACGTGCAGTGACCTCAGGGTGGTCCTGTGCTGTGGCTCTGAATGGTCTGTTGATGACCTTCAAGCCCAGGCAGAGCAAACCCTGGGTGGTCAGACATGCGGTGGGCCTGGCAGGGGACAGGAGAGAGGATTCCCGGGCCACAGAAGCTCAAAGCCCCTGAAATCTGGCTCTGTCACAGCAGGGTGAGTGACCTGTGAGGGCAGCAGCAGGTGGTTCCCCCCAGCACCCCCCATAGCTCCCCCATCCTCCCC